TGTCACCCTGCTTCCTCTGCAAATTGGAGATTGCAAACACCATTCCCATCCTGAACCCCATCAGGCTGCAAGGGCCTCCTAATTGGTCTCTCCAACACCACACAATTGCCCTTCACATCTCTGACAGATTGGTTTTCCTTCTTGACCACACACACACATTCTCACCATGCCTTCCTTCTGCTCAACAATTTCATAACTCTCCCCTACTGGAAAGTCCAAACTCCTAGTGGAGACCTTGCATTGTTTTCTAATCACCCCTTATGTTACTTGTGCAAATGCATCACCCTTCACACCTCAAAGTACATCAGATGTCCTTTTTCTCCTTCTGGAAACTCATGTCTAGGTGGCCCTCCTTGCTTGCCTTCCCGTGGCCACTTCTAAGATCCCTGTCCATCACCCTGATCATCTTCACACTTACTTCACTGCATTTGGACCCTCGTGTAGTGCTTCCTTCAGAGGAGATTCAGGGGATGTTTGTTACAGCATTACCCTCTTCTGATTAATACCCTAACACTTTGTTGCTGTGGTCTTCTGGATGTTTCCTATGCTCTCCATAAGATTGCAAGCTTCCCAAGGGTGAGAGCTAAGTCTTGTGTCATTTGCACCCTTGGATAGGATAGTCCTTGGGCAAGAGTTGATGCATGAAAGAATGATCAGAGAGGAGAGACAAACTTTCTATGATATGCAAATGACATTTGGCTCAGAGGCCACCATTGAAGTGGCTTGGTGGTTTCTGTCAGCCAGTGATCAGGAAGCAGCTCCCACATTTGGCTGGTAACCTCCTTGTGTCAATATGCAAGGCTAAAGAGATGGAACCTCAGATCAGAGACTCGTGGCATTTGAGGTTGTATTTTCTTTGCCTCCTGGGGGGGGGGGATAAGCCCGGGTCTTCAGCAGGCCAACCTGTCAGTTGAAGCAAGCTGGGCATGTACCTTTGGGAAGCTTTTCAAATTGAGCTCTCTTGGCTTTTTGCCCATACCTAGCCCCTTCACACCAGGCCAAACTATAGACTGACGCTAGTGGAGAAAGTAATAGATTGGGACCAGGATGCTCAGGTTAAGTGGGCCGCTTTGTGGAGCTCATCCATAATCCTGCTGGAGCCCAGAGAACAATACGTTAATTAGAGCTGGCAGCCCCGCTCCCATCAGCCATCCATCCTGCCTGTGTCCGCAGGGCCTTCCCCACGGACAGGCCGGCCCATTCCCTACTCTGAAAGAGATTTATTCATTATCAATGTTTGCCTGTGAGAGGGATCAGGTGGGGAGGGGCTGAGATTCAGAGAGAGACAGGATATGAAGAAGGCAGAGGCAGCAGCAGAGTGGGTGTGTCTGGGAGCTGGAGGCCGGGTGTTCCCAATCAGGGGGACAAGGATAGCCTACCTGACTGGACCAGGGGAGAGGTGAGTTAGGTGAAATTAGTAAATATATCCAAGAAAAAGAAGTCTTTGCCAAGCTTTAGGCTTGAACTATGCTCACATTAGGCCCCAAACAAGGGAGGAAGAAAGTGAGGAAGAGGAAAACCATTAATCTAGCGTACATCCCAGTGCTCACACTTAAAAAGCACTCCAAAAGGTGCTTGTTGGGTGAATAAGTGAATCAGTGATTCACTACCAATGAGCCAAGAGAAATATGAACCAGAAAGATGAATATGTCCTGAGATTTTTACCTAGGAGTTCTTTGAAAGAAAGGAAGAAATATTTCATTTTTTTTCTTGGATGCTATTACCTGGTTATTGTGTTGAATTTTGGAGAAAATGGGAAAGGACCAGCTTTCCTCAAGGCAGAGTGGCAGCTTGTGAGGTGAGAAGTCAAGGGGTCAGAGATGGCCAAGGACTGGCTGGGCTCTGGCCACCGACTAAGAGGTCCAAACACAGTGAGGGGAGCTGGGAAGGGGGCTGCAGTCACTGCTTTGTAAACTCAGCTCACAAGAGGTGTGTGAATAACTGCAGCCCCTTTTCTGTAAATCCTGCTGCTCCCATGATGTGCCCAAATCCCATAACCAGTTTATGCCAGAGCCTTACTCTTCCAGCTGGGACACCTGGACTAGTGAATCCCATCACTTAGAAACCTCGTTATAGATGCAGAATCTTGGGTTGCACATCAGAGCTACTGAATCCGTCTGAACCTGCAGGTTAACAAGATCCCCTTGTGAGCTTATGTACACCAAAGCTTGAGAAGCCCATTGGAGCCATGGTGTGCGTGGTGCTTTTGGAGTAACATGGTGTTTGGGGGGAAAGAGCCATTGTGGTGGACTGGAAGTTCTAGCCTGACTCTCCATGAACTGGCCAACTTGGGGCATATCGCTTAGCCCCTCTGGGCCTTAGTTTATGCATTTTTAATATAAAAGAATTGAACACAATCAGTGATTCTTAAACTTTAGTAATCATTAGTTAACTAGAATGAAGGGCAGCATTTGCACAGGGCCTGAGAATTGGCATTTCTAGTAGGTTCCCACATGGCGACAATACTGCTGGTCTGAGGTCCCTACTTAGAGAACTGCTTGACCAGCTGGTTTCTAAGTTTCCTTCTGATTCAGATATTTTACAGAACACTCAGTCCCAGTTTAGTGCTCTCCTCTATACCATGTGTCTTCCATTGGTGAGAGGATCTCAATTCCCAGGTGCATGCCTCTTCTGAGGGGCACTGGCCTGTTCCCTGTCACACCTGATTCTCCTGGTCCAGGCAGTTAAGGCCACCTTCCCAGCACATCCAAGATTGATGAGCCAAGTCTTACAAAATGCACGGGAGGCAATACAGGCAAAGCATTATCAACAAGATTTAAGAAGAATCCTACGGAACACAGCAATAAAACCTGGAAATAACTATCCATTTCCTACCAACAAAACGTCTCATTTCCGAGTCCATAAATGCTCCCCCCTCCGGATCTTAGACCCATCTGTTTTGTAAGCATGTATAATTATTAGCATCATAAAGTCAGTTTCTATACCTAATGTAATTATCAGGAGCCAAAATAATATCAGGTAAAGGAGGGGGAGAGTAGGAGGCTTGCTCACTGCAAACTCAGACAATTTCTTTAAAGAGAGCGAAGTAGTCACATGAGAAGATAACGATTCTTTATGGTGATATTATACTTCCTATGGAGGCTTTGGGGACAGCTTTGCAAATAAGACTGAGCTGGCTCATCTCAAAGTAAAGAGTGGTTTCCTGGCATGTACAGTGGGCTTAGTCCCTTTTGGGAATGAGAAATCAGGATCACTGTGCTTCCTCTGTGACCAACCTTCCAGATTCCCTGGAGGCCCCAAGAGCAAGGCCTTGCAACCTGAGGCCCTGCCAAAGTAGTTCATTCTTTTTCTTCCTTTTGCACCACCTCTGGAGAGTTAAAAAAAAAAAAAAAAGAGTTTACAAAGCCACTTAGAGATAGTAGCCAGCAGAGAGTTCCTGGTTCAGAATGAATTCAGGAGTTTTGTCTTTGTGATTGGTCACAGTGACTTGGGGAGGTGGTGCTCTTTTATCATCTATGGAATGAATGAGTGAGTGAGTAAATGCATGAAGCGATGGACAGAGAAGAGTTGGTGACAGGGATGAAAGAGAGCATATGTATTCCCCTCCCATAGCTTATTTATGAGAGTATTGGGGGGCAGCATAGGACCAATGAGTCATCATAAAGAGGCTGATTTGTTTTTACTTAATCCAAATAGCAAAATAGCATTTTGACCATGACAGCTGTTCAAATGAAGTGACTGACCCCTTTGCACAGTTATGAGTTTTGTATCACTAGATTCTCAAACAGATCCCAGGCATACCTCCCCCTTTCTGAATCTCATTTTTTCAAGGTTGGGGTATTAGGTAGGAAGGTTGTGTAGTAGGGAATAGCATCTACTGTGTGTCTGAGCCTTTACTTGTATAATCTCATTTAATTCACTCAACAGACCCCCCCCCCCCCGAGGTAGATGCTCTTATCCCTATTTTTAAAATAAAGAAAGCAAGCTCAGAGGTTTATGGAACTAGTCCATGCCATCCAGCTGGTGAGAGGTGGAGCTAGGATCCAAAGTAGGATCTGCCTGCTCCAAGTTCATGGGCCTTCCTCGGTAGCTTGAAAGACTCTGCTAAGTCTCACATTCTTCAACGCACTTCTTGGAACTGCACTTGTGCCTGGCTCCTGAAAATACGGGCCACCGCCACCGCTGGCGGAGATAATGGTCTACCTTATGGATCTGTCATGGAATTCAAAGTTCTCTTAAGAGAGCCTGTTGTGGGGGTGGTGACTGTTTCCCATGCAGTTGTCTTTTGGTTCCTATGTGTTTGTTAAGCTGCTGTAGCATCTTCTCATCTGCAGATTTGCTTGTCTGCCAGAATCCCAAATCAACCTGATGGTTTAGGGGTTTCATTCTATGATCTGGCAATCCATGAATTCAGTGGATCCTGCTCCTCTGCCTCCCCCACGCCCCACGGGGAGCAGCCTCCTCTCTCCAGCTGGCACAGCGACCACATTTCGGGGCTGATTGGGGAGTGTTTCAGCTGGACAGGGGCAGATGGCTGACTAGGGGTACAGGCTGCCATGTTTTTGCTAATTTTGAGCCTGGGGCGAATCCTGAAGGCACCATCCGGAGATGCCTGGAAAGCTGGATCTTCTGAAGCGGTGCTGCAACCTTGGAGGCAGTTTCATCTGAGCGTGTTTCGCTCCCATCTCCGTCCCTTGTTCTCATGCCAGCCTCTTCTGGATGCCCACCAGATGCCTCTCTGCTAGGTGCCTCCGTGCCCTGTCTCATTTCCCCTTGGAACTGTGCAGCAGGGACTCCTTCCTTGTCGTGCTGGGGAGGCAGGTAATGAGGGGGGAGGCTGGAGCCCACTCTGTAGGTATAGGCTGCCACCTCTCCTCTCTGAAGCCTACACCCTTCCTTTCTCCTCTCTCTGCCTGCCTTTGCCTCCAGTGCCTCCCAATCCGGCTTAATACAGGCTGGGGTAGGCCCCAGCAAGAGCAGGGCACTAGCCAGGCCTCTGGGAGGGCATCTGCTTCTGCTGATAAGTACCCCTGTCTTTCTCCTCCCCTCCGGCAGGGCGGAGATGCCCTCCCCCAACGAGCCAGGGAATTAAAGCAGGGAACTGGGCTTTGGCAACTGGCCCTCTCACTGGCACGAGGCCTGCACTGTCTCCAAGGATTTCTCTCTCAGAGACTCAGTGTTGCCTGATTAAAAATGATTGCTTCTTACAAAGCAAAATAGGGTCTTGTCGAGAGTCCACCCAACAATGAGAATGGAAAGTTGGGACTTCCTGGGCTCTGAACGCAGTCCATAAGAAAGAGGGAGCTTGAGGCATGGGAATGGAATCTCCTCCAGTTGGGGAGGTCTCAGAACAGAGGGCTGGCTGCATGGAGAGCAATTCTGATACAAGTGGGCTCAGACCTGGAGGTTACCTGTCCAGCCCCATGCGTTAGTGTGCCGGGGCTGCTGCGTTGAAGGACCACAGCCTTGAACTACAGACACACGTTGTTGCACATTTCTGGAGGCCAGAATCCTGAAATTAAGGTGCCTGCAGACTTGCTTCCTTCTGAGGGAGGTGAGGGAAGGAAGCCAAGTCTCTCTCTTGGCTTGTGGGTTGTAGAAGGCCATCTTTTCTGTGTCTCTTCACTTTGTCTTGTAAATTCCTTTGTCTGTGTGTCCAAAATTCCCTTTTTATGAGGACACCAGTTGTAGTCGTGTGTGCAGGGTGCCATAACAAAATACTACCGACTACCTGGCTTAGAGGACTCTCTTTTGGCTTGCAGAAGGACAGTGCGCTGGTGTCTCTTCCTGTTACCAGAGCACCGTGCCTATCAGATTCAGTCCCCACTTTGACTCTTTAACCTTTTTCACCTTCTCACAGGTCCTGCTTCCAAATATGGCCACGTTGGGGGTTAGAGACGCAAAGTATCAATTTGAGAGGAGTACAGTCCAGCCCATGGCACCAGTCCTGTTGGATCAGGCCCCACCCTCGTGATCTCACTTTAACTTGATTACTTCTGTGAAGACCCTGTCTCCAGACACATTCCAAGGTATTGGGGGTTACAGTGTTGACATGTGAATTCTGGGGGGATACAGTCAGCCCACAGCATCTAAGTTCCACAGGCTTAACCTGCCACCCTGGGTCCATTACAAAGGAGACTGGAGTTGGGGGGACACAATTGTGCCTCCCTACCCTGACATCACTAGGTTTTCTGGGGCCCAGGGATGGGCAGGGTCCCTTGGGAGCTCCACTGACTGAGGCTGGACACTCAGGTATGCTGGGGAGTCTCCACCCTGTGCACTGCCAGCTCCACGCACACCTGCCATTTCCCATGAGGTCAGCTTGCACGCTCTGGGCCCAGCCAGCCTGGTGGGCTTGTCTCTTTGTGACCAAGAGGTAAAGAAGCACAGCATTCAGGTGACCATCTTGGATCTCCTTTAAGCTATTATCTCTTTTAAGCAGAGCAGCCAGAGAGTAAGGAAGCAACACATTTTAGGAAGATTTGGTGCTGGGGTCTGGGGAGTAGGGGTCAAAGAGGTGGGAGAGAGAAGGAGAGAGAGGAAGAGGAAGAAGAGAGGAGGTGAGTGGGAATTAATCACGTTCTCTTTCACTCCAAACTTGCTGCCACAGCCCTGGAGAAAACCATTTTACATACACTTTTTCTTCATAATAGGATTATTCCAAAAACATTTCAAGCAAAAGAAATGCTGTTTTTTGAAAAAAATCTCTATTTACAGTTCACAAAGATCAGAATTTTCTTTTCCAGGGTAAGTAGCCTTTATATCTTTATTGCTCTCTATTTATTTCCTGCTGGAGATAGGGAATAAGGCTCTACCAGCATCAAAAGACCCTCGAGCCATCCTGTGATTCTGAATTACAGAACTGGGGAATGGGGTCAGGTGCAGGGACTCCTTCTCTTGATTCCTTTCAACTGACCCAGATATGCCAGCCCTACTCCTGGGGCCTCCCAAACCCCCAGGGTTTCTTCCCACCCTCCTGTGTGCTGTCTGTCTTCACACATCTCTCAGCCTCAGGGTTGGGAATGGGAGAACTCACTTTCCATGTGATGCCAGTGGGCAGAGGGTGGAGCGAGGTCAGAAGGGGAGAGCTGAGGAAGGAAGTGGATTGCACATGCCCCTTTTGCTCTGGGGTGCACCAGCCTGGCTGACATCTGTGAAAAACAGCCACATCAAGTCCTCCCTGTCCCTGTCTTGAAAGCATAGATTCAGAGATGGATGGGTCTTTGGACAATACAGACTCATCTCCCTCCTGGGTGCCTGATGCTGGCTAGAGCCCTGCTTTCACGGTTCCCTCCCTCTCCCTGCACATCCCCTTGGCTGCGCAACTCATGAGTGGGAACATCTTTTCTGATGTTGAGTAGGACCCTTTCTGTGTTAATCAGAACTCTCTAGAGAAACAGAACCAATAGTCATACATACATGATTAATTATAAGAAATTGGCTCACAGTACTATGGAGGCTGCACGTCACAAATCTCTAGGGTGAGGCTGCAAATTGGAGATCCTGGAGAGCTGAGGACGTCAGTTGCAGTCCCAGGACTGACAGGCATGAAGACCAGGAAGAGTCACCGCTGCTGTTCCAGGCAGGAAAATGCTGGTGCAACAGGTTGAAGGCTGAGGCAGAGGAATTCTTTCTTCTTGAGGGGAGGCTCAGCCTCTTTGTTCTATTCAGGCTTTCTCCTGATTGGATGAGGCCCACCACATTGAGGACAACTTACTTTACCCAGTTTAAATGTTAATCATATCCCCAAACACCTGAGGGCTTGTGTAGCTTGTGCTTGGATCTTAGAAAAAGCAGTTCACTCTTAGGATAAGGATGCACCCTTCCCTGCCCCTCTCATTTCTTGGTAAATCATAGAAAGCAGCAACTGGGGCCAGTAGGAACCATACCCTGGGATTAATCTTTGGGAAAGCTCATTTCCCTCTGTTTCCCGCCCTTAGTAAGTCCTCAGCAAAGGCAGAAAAGGGAACATCTACTTAGAAACCAGAGTCTCTGTGTCCTGTAAGTTGCAGGAAGGCCCAGCATGGACGAGTCTCACCTCCTTTTAACATAGGGACTCTGATGCAGAAAGAGCTTATGTCACACACCAGAGTTGTGTTGTTTCGTGCTGCAGGAGCTAGGACTTGAATCCAGCACTGGTGAACCTGCAAACCTCCTCTTTCTGCTACCTCTGCGGGGTGTCATGTGCCTGCGCAGGCTCTGTATGCTGTAGAGGGGAAACGGTCAAGTTTAAAGTAATTTCAACAATAACAATGCAGCTCTTCCCAGGAACTCAGGGAGGAGAACACAACTGGTGGCCAGCCCAGGGAATCCCTGCAGCTTTGACATTGCTGCATCATCTTCAGGACACTGTACCTATGGAGGCTGGAGGAGATGACCATTAAGGACACCTTTTCCTACTCTGGGATCTGAGGGATCCCCAGAGCAGGCAGCTTGAAGGCTCCTTCCTTTTCAAAGCAGTGAGGAAAGGGAGGAGAGGAAGAATGAGAGGCGGGCGGCCCCATGTCTCCGGCTCTGCGGTGCCTTTCTCTGCTCTGTGAGCACAGGACCTTGCTGGGGGAGGAGGTGTAGCCGGGAACCTTTGCAAAGGGCACAGCAGAAGTGGAGGCTGGCTTCCTGTTTGTCTGGGACACTGCCAGCCGTGTTCTGCAGAGACTCCAAAGAGGAGAGCAAATAAGGGGATTTTCAGATGGTCTTTGCATGCCTTCTCCTTTGTTTTCCCTTGGAGGGAGAGGCGGCTGCTACTCTAAATCTTGGCCTGGAGGAGCCATGCACGCTAAGTTGAAGGGGCGGACGGCTTATGTAAGATGAGGGGACTGAAGCCCTGTTAAGCTGAGCTGGGGAGCAGTTGATCTGCGCTCTGCTCAGAGAAGCTCCAGTTTTTCGGGAGACAATGTAAGCTGACCTTTCTGGATTCCCCCTTGCTTCTCTTACAATGGCCTCAACAGGAACTGTCATCAGTGGAGAGTCTTGGGGCTGGCGGGGCCTGCAGGTAATCGCCCTGACACTGCTTGATTGCCTTCAGAGACAGGGAACTCGCTCTTCCCCTAGGCAGCTCATCTCATCTCTGCCTGGCTCCTTCCTGGCGGGGTCTCCGGAGCCAGAAGCTTTCCTCCTTGCTTCATGGAGTTGCTGACCTTGACACTGGTCCTCTGACCCGATATAGGCATGATATTTGGAATAAATTTACGCTCTGTTGGGAATTGGCCTTTGCTCTGAATTAGTCACTTGGTTTCTTCAGCTGGGTTTTAAGCTGTCTTCAGCAGGGACCAGAGAGCCTCCATCTTTTATATCCCACATATTCACTACTAGCTGGCCGAGCATATGGCAAGTGCTTAATCACAGTATGGTAGAAACAAGTGAGGAAGAAAGGAAGGAAAGGAGGAAAAAAAAATAAAAAGATTTGCCTTCATCTTTTCTTGTGTGCTGGATAATAGAGGCCCTCTGGGATAGGATCCCCTTGAGGATCAGTCATTCCTGCCTGGGAGGGACCTTGGCATGTGGAACTGCCCTGGGTTCTGACCTCAATACCAGGGCTCCAGTTTTAGCCTTTGCAATTCCTACCTGAGCATCTTTGGGCAGGTTACTTCCTGGAACCCCAGTGTCCACTCTGAAGTGGGAAATAGTAATCACCTCATAAGGGGTTGTTGTGAGGTTCAAATCAGATCCAAGGACCCGGAGCTCTCTGTAAACTGGGTTTCCATATGGTTGCAGGGCGGAGCTCAGAATTGGGTATGAAGAACTGGATTCAACAATAACAACATCACTATTATTTGATTGATTTCTTTTGTATGTGAATCACTGAGAAGTTTCTTTATAGACATTCTCTTAGTGATAGATTATAAGGTTGGCAGTTTACAGATGAGAAAACAGACGTTCAGAAAGGTGAAGTATCTTGAAAAACTAGGATTTGCACCCAGTTCCCTGATGGCCTCCGAGCTCAAAGACTCTATTACATCAGACTGCTTCTTGTTAAAGGAAAATTAGGGCCAATATGTGGGGAGGGGAACTGAGGATGATGAGGTGCTGGCAGAAGGATGTTAGACTCAAAGACTATAGGAGAGACCCTCAATCCTGTGACTTTATCATTTCCCCACTTAATAGGTAAAGCAAATACTCAAGGCTCGTTCTTTTCCTGGGTTGATTTTAAAAATCTTTTCCTCACCCTAAGTGTCTCATTTGCAGTTGGATTTCGGTCTGTTAGCCAGGCGCTACTTCTCTTCCAGGGAACCCGGGATGTCTGCATAATGATGTGAGTTTCCAGGAGAGCTCAGTGGGGGTGTGTGTGGGGGAGTCTAGAAACCAGGCAGAACAAGGCAAGGAAGATGTGGCTTTTAGGCAGTGACCAATTGATCATTTGACAAACTTTATTAAGCATTTACATGTGCCAGGAGCGGTGCTAAATCCCACGGGGCTGAAGAAACTACAGGCTCTGATCTCGGGAGCTTACAGATTGGTGAGGAAGATAGATTTCAAGGCAGATGGAGGCTCCTTATGCTGATGGACGGGCAGAGGAGGGAGGGGAGGTGGTTGGAAGGAGCATGTGTGTATTTGGGCGAGAGGACAAGACTTTACCCAGGGGACGGTGCAGGAGGGGTGGCATACCTGGGTCCCTCTCTGGAATTCTCCACTCCAGCAGACCCCTCAGGCCTGGTTCTCAGTTTAAGTCAAATAACTTTGGTCCCCAGTTGCCTCCTGCCTGCCACGTTCCAACTCAATCATTCTTTGAAATTTGGAGCTGTAGCTAAAACGCCTTTGCCCTGTAACAGGATTTTCACAGTCTCCACAGCAGCGGAGAACGTCGCTCATCACCTGCTGTTGTAATCTGCACCGCTAAGCCCGAAGCTCCAGGCGGAAAGCTTAACTCGCCTTGCTGATTCCAGCTCACTCTTCCTGGCATCCCAGCCGTATTTCAGGAAGGGGAGCTAATCTGCTACCCCCAACTCTACACAGAGGCACCTCCAAGGAAATACCCATGGCAGAGGGAGCTGATGTTCCTTAGAGAAGGGGCTCTGAGGGCCAAGCTCCC